ATTTTTGCATTGGAGTCGAGAAGTCGATGAGCGAGTGCTGGTGCTAGATCACCAATGCTCGACTTGATCAGCTTGGCCTCACTTATAATGGCCTGTAGCTTGGTAAGTCCCTCATTTCTTGTTTTCCAATCTTTGTCGGACATTTCCTTCAGTAGCGACTCGGTGATTTGACTTGAGATATCAACGCGTGGCAGCAAATCGGCTAAGTTAATAGGTTCTGGTGATGCCCGGTCTGCGCCATCCTCATCCTCCTCTTCGTCGGCATTTGTGCTACTGTGCTGCACACCGCGTATAGGCTTGGGCGGTTTTTCACCCAGATTCTTATTGAATTCGGTTTGAATTTGAGACTTGAGTGCTGGTTTCTCGCCATCAAAGAATACCATCAATGCGTTGCCCATATACATGGTCATGGTACCCACCAGCTGGATGGCAGCGCCGCGTACTGTCGGATTTGTACTCTGGACACCTTTGCGAACATCCTCTATGAGCGTTTTAGGCTGGACTTTAAATCCAAATTCAATGATAGCCTTACTAATCCAGTTAAATGACTCAGATTGCACCTTGGGTGACTTTTGCTCAAGGGCAAAGCTCAGCACTTTGCCAACTACATACTCCAATTTAGTAGCATCAGCCAAAGCGGTGAGCACATCGGCGGCAGCACCCCCATTCTTAGCGTCAGCCAGTTTCTCCGTTATCTCATTGACAACATGGTCCACCGTGATAGGTGTGACAGGAAAATTTTCAGCGATACATCGTATTGCGTCCAGCTTGAGCTTGAGAACTTGAAAGTTCATCTCCTTAAGGCCAGGCTTACGTCCGTTAATAGTACGCACTAGAGTTTGAGATATGCCTGGCTGCTTAACATCATAGCTTGGAATTTGAGCTAGCAGCTGTTCCATAGCCGCCAAGCGATTTTTCCAGTTGCTATCAACCAAACCGTTCAGTATTTCGGGGGGCAACAGTTCATCCGCCTTATCCTGCACCTCTTCTGGGGTTAATTCACGCTCTGAAGCCATGGTTTTACCACCGGCTGCCTTGGACAATGCAGCCGGCACTGCACTAGCTGCACCTCCTGGTTTCTTAACTGTCTTTCGGGCACCTGTTGTCGCTGGACGCGTCACTGGCTTTGGCTCTGTGCTGCCCCCGCTGGGTTTGGCTGTTGCTGCTCCTTTAGCGGCCGGCGCTGTGGCCGGACGTTGCTCTTTTTTTGGAGCCGTTACTTTGATTTTAATTTCGGCCTTGTCGTGAAACTCCTTGATCTTGCTCATCTTCAGCGGATCCACATCGACCAGCAGCGCGGCAAGCGCTTTTTCGCTCATTAACTTCATAAGCGTACCCAGTGCCTCGGCGCTGCTGTCTCGCACTGTAGGATCAGATTCATTTAACGTCTTGATCAGAGAAGTGGTCAGAAGCTTGACAAGTTTCTTGTTCAATGCCGTTGGCTGTGTGCGACATAGAGCACGCGACAGAAACAGCGCCGTCTCGGACTTGACGCTCGGATTTTTGTTGGTCAGAGCTTCCACGATATGTTCCTGTTGTGCCTCCAGAGTTGTGGACGCATAAATCGAATCCATGGCCTCACGCAACGCGCTCACCACATTTGGCTTCTTCTCCTTAAATTTCTCCAAAAGGGCCGGAACGCAAGCCTTAAAATATTTATGAATATGGATTACTTAATATATAATATATTGTGAGGTTTAACTTACCGTGGCATAGGACGAGAAACGCTTGGAGAGACCTTTGGCCAGCATGGCCAGACATTTGCCTGCCATGGCCACAAGTACTACGTTTGAGTCCTTAGTAATAACCTTTTTCAATGCGCTGACCAGAGCGCCATATTCACCGCCCTCTACCTTAGGATTGTCCGTGAGCAGCTTCTCCAATGCTTCCAAGGATTCTTTGCGCAAGGTCCATTTCTTCTCGTCGAGTTTCTCGTAAAAATCTTTAGGCATCTTGGAAAGTATATCAACGGGATCAATAAGATCCATGGGATCCACATCCTCCACGCCAGCTTCCGCATCGTCATCTACATAAAAAAGGGCAACGCAACAAATTGATTGGCATTGAAGATGAAACAAATTTTTTAAAAGTGGAAGATCGTGTATAAAAGACGTAATTTTTCTTCTAAATCATGATATACATTCAATGCGTTTTCTAGATGTATATACTCCTGCAACTGCCTTAAAACTACATCTATATTCGTTATATACTTTCAAAGAATCAAAGAAATTCAGAAGGCGGGTCATATTTCTCATACAATATTATATCGAAAAGTTGATACATAATGTACGACATTTCTTTTTAATATATATTTACGGGGCTACTTTTATATTTTGATTAAGATAAAGATGCCTTATATTTGTATTTGTAATTCACTTTCAAAATTTAAAAAAATATTTTTTTTTTCTGGATGGGTTATTTTTTAGTTTAAAGTTCCTTCAGTCGAAATAATTAGCTTTCAGCAACAAGCATAAATGTATATATACTGATATATTTTTAGTTATGTTACTAAAAGACAACTAGAAATAAAAGAAAATATAATATATACATTAAAGACCTGAGGCAACTAAGTTTGCTCCTAATGTCGAATGCTCTGAGAAGTGTGTAAAATGTAAAGAGTTTATCAAGAAAACGAGAATATACCTAGGCGCGGGTATGTATACTTCGGCGAGCCATAAAGGCGTTTTTGACTTAATGCTTGCTTACGATATTTCTTGAATTTTCGGTTTGATGGTGGTGTATTCTCTGCTTACAGGTATATATAGTAGATAAAAATAATTAACCTAAGCATCGTCTTTACCATTGTACGAATCCTCCGTGGCGGCTTCGTCCGCTATCTTTGCCTGTTTCTCTTGCTGTGATTTAAGATATCTGAAGGTAAAGTGAATTTAGCTGTGAGTAGCTGGTAAGTCGAGCGGGTGAAACTCACCTGGATGGTTCAGCGCGTTCGCCTTTTAGTTTGTCAAACTCGTCCTCCAGCTCCTTAAGGGTTACCTGCGGCAACGAGGCAATGTGCGTTCTCATGACTGAGCCAATCCAGCGATAGCTTTCAACAGCCAACTGTTTGGTTTCATCGCGCACTGCTTTGTCGCGATCGGCCAAGAGTGGTGCCAGCTTTTTGATGAACGGCTTGACGGGAATTACCTTGGAGCCAAATTCGCGCATTGCTTGTGTAGTGGTTGCTACGCAGGCTGATACAATTTTTGGATTTTTATGGTCCATGCCCTTTACGAGCTCTTCCAAGACCGCCTCGTGCTTCTCTATCTCAACATACATAAGCGTGACCTGCACAGAGAGCTCTTTTGTCTTGGCCTTGGGCGCTGCAATGCATTTTTGGACAATTCCCGACATAACATCACCGACAGTGCGTCCAGCTAAGCTGCTGTTTTCAACAAATATCAGCGCGGCCTCCAGGCCCTTCTCCTGGGCAAGGGCATTCGAATCAACAACCATTTTCTTGATGAGCCCCGCATATTTCGACCATTCCGGTGATTTCTCGTCGTCTAGTTCGCGAAAAAGCTTGGCTGCCTCCTCATAGCCATCGACACGCGCTTTCCACAACTTGTGTACGCAGCGCTCCTCAACGGGTAACTTTTTGTACTCGGTATCCTCGGCCATGTCTGTCCTAGCGAGCTGTTTATCCTCTCTAGTTGGTATCAGCGACTTGGTCTGTGGTTTAGCTCAACGAATACGCGACTAGCTAAAAGCGAAAATATCGATTGGTTTCAAAACTGTTTGGGAACTTTTTGTTAGTTGAAATTGAAAATCAAACGCAAAACTAACTCAATCGACCAGAACTTTGCTCTCAGCTAATGGTACTCACAGTTAATGTTTCAAAATTAAGCTTAATTGTGGATGAAATGTTCGGTAAAGGAGTGTAGCCGACACGCTTGAGAAACGCTACTTGGAGAGGCGACAAATTTAAATGGGTCGCAATGCCATATTTAGAATTTGCCGTCTTTCTGCTGCTAAATGCTATTCTTATGGCATAAACATTTATTTTTAACAATCGCAAGGATTGGACACTGGGAACGCACCCATTATGAGCTCATAGTCCGCGCACTAATCAGCGACAGCCCGTAAATCAAACATGTAAATAGGTACTCCAACCCTTAATAAAGAAGCAAGTCCATAGAAACACGCACAGTTTGCCAATTATAGTAGAGTAGAGTAGAGTATTTACCGGTCGTTAATATCATTTAACCTTTTTTTAGATCTTTCTCTTTCTAGCTCGATTCGCTCTTCGCTCTCACCGAGAGAGCGTGTGAGTGACGCTTCTGCACTCCCTCGCTTTTTCGAATTAACGGAACATCATAACAGCAAATGTTTCTCAAAAAGCGTCATGCGTCAACAAAATGCCGTCGATTACCGTTTCTTCTCGGTGCCAATTAAATTTGTTTTTGTCAATTTAAAGTAGCTACAATTATATCGATACAGTTCAACGCATAAGGCAAAACCACAATCAACGCCCACAGCAGCCGCGGCACTTACAAAATGTGTTGTTATGCGCCTTAGTAAATTCTGTTGCAGCAACCACCATTAACATGTAAATCAAATTCCCATAGGGCAGACAGCTGGGCAGCTGGAACAACGTAATGCAATAACTTCGATTTTTCACAGGCTCGTAGCTCGTATAAGGCAAGCACAAAACCAATACACGCACACATACACTTCCACTGGCACGGCTTTGTAGCACTTAGCAAAATCGAATTATTAAGCTGTTCCGGTAACAACAAATAATATTAAGTGAACCAATTTGTTATTGGCTTACACAACTATGTTACAAAACAATATAGTGAATTTGGCGTGTTGTAAATAAATAATAAAACTATGCACAACTTTTAAGCGACGACAGCGACGCTCGCTGTCTGTGAAATACTTGTCGACGCTTTTGTGTGAATGTCAATGCAGCATTTATTATAAGCAACGCTCTGCTAATCGAGGAGCAGCTATGTTAAATCGATGCAATAAGTAACACTGTGTAACAAACAGCCCGCGCATTTTCTGGTTAATTTTTTTGTTTATTTTTTACTCTACTAAGTCACCCACGTTTTGTGGCTCGATGAGCGTTATTTCTAACAGGTGTATCGTGTGCCCACCCATGTATTCAAGCAAATCCACACCGGACTGCTTGCCAATATCATCCATATTTATGCTCGATGCATGTAGTTTCCATTTCTTAAGTAACGCTTCTATTGACCAATCCGCGCTGCGCTCCTGGTATGTGAATATAAATTTTGCTCCACGATTGCGTTCCAACAGGAACGCCACCGTCACAATGATATCCTCAAATACGCTGGGATCGTAGAAGCAATCTGCCGCTATTATAAGGTCCAATGCAGGCAGCCGAAAAACGCTATTCAGCAACAGGCCCCAGCTTAGACCAACGACGTCGATGTCAACTCCTGGTTGCAATTGATTGGCTAGACAGGATTTGCGTATGTGCGCTAGGGATTTGGGTAGAATACAATTGTCGCTGAGCACCACCTGAGCACCGCATTTGGCAGCCAGTATGCCGGGCAATGCAGTTCCAGCACCTAGTTCTAATATGCGCTTGCACGCAAGTGTTTGCCGACGCTCCCACAGGAAGTAGGCGAGAACTGGAGCGCTGGGCCAGGTATAAAATGAGTAGGCTCCCTGCAGAATCTATATTTATACAGTAATTAAAAAACAGTTTCTTGCAATGTTCATCTTTTTTATTTACCTCTGGTATTCTAATTTCTAAGCGATCTACGGTTGTATCACCGCCGCTTCCAACGTTGCAGCTGAATACAAATTTGCGAATGTGCTCGGCGGTAGCTGTGGAAGCCACAATATCACTGTCGTCGCTGCTGCCGTTCATGTGAAAACGCATTTTTACCCAAGCGGACGCTTTAAGAATGGCTTTTTGTTTATAAATGGCCCTAACAACATTCAATACTTTTTGTTTACAACCTGTTTGCCAGCACTTTAGAGATGAGCACAATTCGCGTGAACAATATTGGCGCCCCTCGTCTATTGTTATTCCCAAGTAACACTTACACAGCTGCAGTCACATTGAACCAAACACGCATTAGTCAAATGATGTGAGACCGTTAAGTCATACATATAAAGAACATTGTCCTCAATTTGGCAAATTAATTTAAGTTATGCCTACACAATACATTTTGAATTTGACTGAGCGGAAGAAAGTATCTGAGAACCATACAATTTCATTACATGTAATATTAATATAATTATTATATATAATTTAATTAGTATATTTTGTTTCGAATAATAATTGTTAATTTTATGTATATATGTTACGATTTTAAATTCGGTATCCTGGGTGCTATAACGTTAAAGTGTTACATTACACGCGGTGTCACACTTCAATTCGCAACATCGCCCTTCTCTAGATACAATCGAAAACAATCAAATTAGACCTGTTGCAAATGGGCTGTCGCTATTAATAAGCTGCCAGAAAATTGTATATTAAAATAATATCGGCATGCCTCAAAACGCGTTGCGCGTGGGTAACTGGGAGCTGAAGGGCATTCTGGGACAAGGTGGCTTTGGTGAAGTTAAGCATTGGATAAATCGCGTAACAAACCAGGAAATAGGTAAGCGCAATTTGTGTACGTGATTTCGTACAAGAATTATATACCTTTGCATATAGTATATACATGTACATACATACATCAATGCATACACGCGCGCAATACCAATACACACATTAAGTGCAAGCCGATTCCTAGAATTCGCTGATTCAATAATTAGTTTGATTATTTGTTGCTGTGTTTGTGTTTGCCTCTCTGGTTCTCTCTCTCTCTCTTCCTCTGTCCTCGTCTCTTTTTAAATGTTAGTGCTTGAGCTGATAAGTCTGTGAAGGAAGCCGGGAGACTTAAGTTGCTGACGATGCGCTGAATCAGCTTCGAAACTACGTATTATTTTAAGCAGCGGCTGATATGCTTGACGCTTTTTAATAGTTTGTTAATCTTAACAGCCACCAAGCACATCAAGAAGCACATAAAGGATGAAACAAGCGCTGATCAGCAGCGTACTCTGATAAACCGATGGCAGCAGGAGCTTAAATGGACACTTCAGTTTCAGATGCCCTTCATTGTTGCCGGCGTTAGATTGGACGACGATTCGGGGGGGTTTGTCAAGTATTTGAAAAGTCACCACATTTGGGACCTGCCGGTTATTATTCTTGAGTATTGCAATGGAGGCGATGTTCGCAGACTTCTGCAGAGACCGCAAAATGCTAACGGTGAGTCCCACCATAGGAAACTGCTTCTTTGGCTAGAGAAGCCAATATTTTACATGTCTGTTCCGACGACTGCATGTTATAAATGTTTGGCTTTTTACAGGTCTTCTGGAGTTTGAAGTTCGCGAGATTTTAGGTGCCCTACGACATGCTGTTGATTTTTTGCACACGACCTGTAAAATCTGTCATCGCGATCTGAAGCCGGACAACATTGTGATACATCGACTACCCAATGGCCGTAAGCTCTACAAGCTGACAGATTTTGGCTTGGCGCGTGCTTCGCCGGAGAATACCATTCAGCAAAGCGTAGTGGGCACAAGACATTACTATGCACCCGAGGTGGTAGACACCGGCAAGTATAAGAACACGGCCGATTACTGGTCGATGGGGATCATTGCCTACGAGGTGGCGACTGGAGTGCTGCCATTTATACCCCACCAAAAAGCGTTCAATATCCATGTGAATCTTGAGAAGAAAAAGCGCGAGTGTATTGCAATAACAGAGAATCATTTGGAACCGAATAGCTTTCTCTTTCATACCCAGATACCCGTGGGTCATCACCTAAGCTTGCCTTGGTTGGCACGACTGACAAGGTGGCTTCCGCTGGCCCTCGACTACAACTATTCACACCGTGGTGCTTTAGCAGCAACTGATGAAGTACAAAATGGATTACCAGGACCCGCCATATTCACAGAGATCGATCGTATGCTTAAGGTAACAGTACTGACGCTGTTTTTAGCGTGCAGCTACAAACGCTTAGAGTACGAAGTAACTCCCAGCACGACAATGGAGCAATTGGAAAATTTTATTGAAAGAGAAACCGGATATAAAAGGCAGACCAATTACTATGTGTTACCCACGGGTCATCCACACAAGCGCTTGACCAAGAGTACCATACCCATGGATCTCTATGTGGAAAAATGGTGCGATACAAGTGAAGAGTCGCGGAATCCACCAGTCATGGTCTACATTTTTAACACCACGGAGAAGTGTAAATATATGGACCCAAAAATGCCGAATGACCTTCAACATTTCACAACTTCTTCAAGCGATATGAAATTAGAAAAGTGGTTAAGTGACCACCTTGTCTCGGAAATGCATCATGTGCTCACCACAGAAAATGATCTCGTAAGAATGCTGCTATGTGGATTCAAGGAGTATGCATTGACTCTGGAGGACGAAATTCTCGAACTTCAGCCATTCGCTAAAGCTATAGAACAAGAAAAGGTCATGTGCTGCGGTGCCATACAGCAGTTCCAGTTACTGCTAATAGATGCACAAAAACAGCAAAAACTCTATTTGGTAAACAATGAAAAATAATTTCAATTTTATAATAACTAATGTGCATCCACTGTATTTTTTCTTAGCCCAACAGTGGAGAGTGGCAATCCAATTTGATGAAAGTAAACAAGTATAAAGAAGTCATTATTTTTGTTGAAAAAGTCATAAATCATTATGAATCTACGTTGCGCGGAGTTCGCAGCGTCTGCATAACGGAGAGCCAAGAGATCAATGAGACTATACTTGGCAGTGATATATACAAAATGTCCGTAAATAGTTATTATTTAAATTCTCCAATTAAGCAATCCATGTAAACAATTTTCTTTTATTGCAGCAAAGATTTTCAGAGGAATTATCTTAACCGTGTTGACGCCATAACGGCCAAAGAGCTGGCAAATATCGGCCTTCAATTTGCCCAAGCACGTCACGCTTTTATCGAAAACAAAAAAGTACAACATTTTCGCGATAGCACAAACTATCTGCATCTGCGCTATTCAAAATTAAAAGATACTCTAAATAATGCCCATGAGAATCTCATGGCGGTTCAACGTCAACTGCTGGCACAGCAATTGGAAATGTTGCCAAGTGCCCACCCAAAACAAGAGCAGCCCATGCATCAGCTAAATAATGCGATGAGCCGGCTGAGCTTTAATGTCGGTAACGGCATCCACGAACCACCTGCTAGTTTGGATGCTTTCGATAGTCTATCCGCCGAGAATGTGATTGCCAAGGCGTTAAGCATCACCCAACTGTATGTAAAGCGATCTTGGTGTAGTAAGTACAATTAATAAGATACCCAAAAATATTATTTCAGGTTGGAGAGTGAGATGGACATCGATCGGGACTAGCTTCCTTAAGCATAAAGTGCCTTCAAGATTACTGTTTGATATTAACTAAAGTCAGCATTATTTTTTAAATTTAGCTAGAATGCTTTAATTTGTTACATTTTATAACTGTAATCTACAGTTGATTTAGACCTTTAATTTGTTATAATTTGAGTGTGGCTCTTGTCCAAGCTTTATTTTAATTTAAAAACGCATGCTCCACATTTAAAGTTTGTTTATTATGTATATGAATTTATGTATGTGCGCTATTTGTTTTATTATAACGTTTAACTTCAATATTATTATAAAATATATATGCTTTCACATCATTTAATGTTTTAGTTTTATTTTTATAATATCCGGTTGGCTGTGAAACATGATATTCTCGAACTAATTATATTTATTCACTTGGCAAACAATTATTTCTATTTAGTGGTAAACAGCAAGTCTGTTTCGATTTGTATATATCAGAAGTTTCCCAGAATTGAGCTAGTTTTAGTTTTGCGGCGAATTATTAAATAAATCGTTATATTAATATACTAGGACAGAAGTTGGAAAACAAGTTTCAGTATTTGAATAAAAACTTTAAACATTTTTTATTTTCTACTTGACTTTTAATTTGTTCGAGTCGGATTGGCTATATACATAAATTCTCTAACATGTGTGCATATCTATGGAGTTGTTGGGCAATAATATATAGCTAAGCGTTATTCACATGTACATATTGGGCTTTATATATATGAGTAGAGAAGAGCAACTCGGCTGGAAAACATCTGTGTTGGTGCGGCTTCGCAAATTTGCTGAGGATTGCAATGTCACGGAAAATTGCAAGTCTGGCAGAACTCAATGCGTCAGCTTCTGGCCAGCCGTTGGCTTCACTCAGCTATAAAAGCAATGGAACAGCCGTTGCAATAAACAGTATTCACTCGACTCCAGTGAGAAGTAAAGCAAAATTGATCCACAACCAAAGCAGCCAACAAATGGAGAGAAACCTATTAATTACCCTCATGCTGGTGGGGCTTACGCTTCAGGCAACCCAAACATTGGCCAAGCCCAAAGGAAAGTCGAGCAAATTGCGTAAGTATCAGCGATCTGTGGTCTTTTCCCAGTGATTCTAGCCATTTGCAGCTGCCTTTCTCAAGGTTTGTCATCGTGATTCTCCGGACTTAAATGTGTGTGCTCGTGAATCCTTTGAATCGCTCGAGCCGCGACTGATGGACGGCATACCGGAACTTTACATACCGCCTATGGAGCCGTTGCGTGTGCCCGAAATCAAAATGGACCAGGACTCCGGTGCCATTTATCTTCATTCGATGTACAAGAATGTAAAGATATCGGGCATATCGAAGCATACGCTAAACAATTTGTCCATCGATCCAAGTCAATTAAAGTTTACGCTGTCGTTGACCTTTCCCAAGCTAAAATTGGAATCGGAATACAGCATAAAGGGCAAAATCATGATGATGCCGATGCTCGGCGATGGAAACTGTCAAGTCGAACTAAGTAAGTTGGAGCAAAGAATTGTTAACTGAGTTGTTTTTAATACCATGGTCTGCCACCAGCGAATATAACAATGGCAACGGAGCTGTTTGGCGAGGAGTATATGAAAAATGGTGCCAGCTATTTGAGGATCAAAGACATAAAGGTCAAGTATGATCTGGCGAATGTGCACATGCAGCTGGATAATCTCTTCAATGGCGACAAGGCGCTGGGCCAGCGTATGAATGATTTCCTCAATGAGAACTGGAAATCACTCTCCGATGAGGTCCGTCCTTTGATGATCAAGGCCCTGGTGGATATCCTACGCGCCTCCATCGACAAATTGTTTGAAGCGTTCAGCTACGACGAACTGTTGCCCACAATGAAACAGTGAGCAGTAAACACAAAGTTTAAATAAACTATAGATTTAATCGTAGGTAGGTAGTAAAAACATTAAACTACAAGTAGCAACAAAAATGAATGCAAAATAAATTATATTTATAACAAAATCCCCTAAGCTCACTTGTGGTTCCTGTTCTCAGAGCAGCCACAGCTTGGTGGGCATCTTGGAGAACACATTGTTCCACAGGCCATGGAAAATATCGGCTAGCCCCAGCTCTAAATCAGGTCGCAGCTCTGCTATGACCTCGTTACCGTTCTGATTGAGGAACGCATTAATGGACGCGGCCAAAATCTCGTTGCCGTTGAATAGATTCTTTAAATGAATGCGCATGGCGCCCACCTGAAAGTTAACTTTCATCTCATCGATATGTATTATCTCATCCCCAGTTACGGTCTCATTGTGGAGCGAGATCTTTGTGTAGACGGCTGTATGCACATTTTTCAGTGCCATGGCTACATCTCCGCTGCCAACCAGAGGCAAGAGCAGTATGTTACCCTTTAGATTGTATTTTGCTCTTATGCGCAGGCGTGGTAGCTCCAACTCAAAATTTAGCTGACGTCGCGCCAGGTCCAAGCTAACAAAAATATAATTATTGGGATTAATTGATTGCCAAATGGATACGACATTGCATCTACTCACCTTGCACGGCGGACTGTCGCATTCGAGGGTCCACGTATGACAAGATTTTGAAAGCCGCCGGACAGAACCAAATTTCCGCTGCCCTTCGAAACAGATACCTGATCAATGTTCAGCGGTTCGAAGCTCTTCACACCAATCTCTGGTATGCCAGCGGCCAGTGCAGGAAAGCAGCCCTCAAACAATTGGCGGAAGCATTTGTTCTCATTGGGATTGGACCGCTTACAGGTTTGTAACCACGGTGCTACGCAAAAGAATACGAAAATATTTTTACATTTTTATAAAGTAAATTTAATTAATATATTCAATTTAAAGGGTATTCACGATGTGTATATATAAAGCAACAAAAAAAAAGCATTGACAATTTTCTTTACACACGAATCAGCCTCGATGCATTTTTTGCTAAATTTACTAACTTTCGCGTGGGCAGATGTTTGAAAATAGGAGTTCGTTCTGTTTACACATTTAGCGAACACGTCAAACAAGTTAGCAAAGTTTACAAATTAAAAAAAATGCATTTATAAAAATGCTTACTCCAAAAAATTACAAATGTGTTGATTAAATATTTTTAGTAAAATAATGGGTATAACAACAAAACCAATATCCCTTTTTCTATAAGCACAGATTAAAACTTTATACGGTTTGTTTAGTTTTGCCTTGAAAGTTTTTGTATATTTTGAAATTTTATATGGACTTTTGTAGGTACTCGTATTAGATCCAGTTTTCAGTTTGTTCACCTTCTTCAAACCCGACAGCACTAACAGTTGCAGTTAAAAATATTTTAGTCATTCGCACTTCCGGCCTCGCACTCAACAAGTCTCTTTATTAGTTGGTTCAGAGAGCACATAGAGCACAAAATATCAGGGGAGGTAACTTCCGATTCCAATTTAACTCTTTTCTTTTAACTCAATTTAAACATTGTTATGTTTCAGTTTAATCTGATATCGATTTAATTCCCTATATTTATTTATTTATTTTCTATTATCCAATACTCACGTCTCTCCTGCAGTGGCGGCTTATCGTTTACAATTTCCCGGGTATAGGCAGTTGCACTTGGTATTAGATAAATGATACCGATAACACATAAGTTCCAGTTTGCTGTATGAAACATGCTTAACCACAAAATTATCCTGGCTGAAATAGCTTCCTTTATTTCTTAAGTCAGCGTTTCAAAATCTATTTTTGAAAACTTGTCCGTTGTTAGCGTCCGTTGTCGGCAACGTTTCAAACCGAATTGCTGCGGCTGCCATGTGAAATGTTGTACGAAACCATAACATTAGTTTTGTGTGTTGTGTGGTTGTTGTGTGGCCAGCAGCGACCACTTTTTGTACACTTTTTGTTTACATTTGCACTTGTACTAGAGATTCCGCAACCCGTCGCTGCAGCAGCCCAAAACGGAATCCAAACTCGAACTCGACCCGTTTACACCCGCTTCCAACTGACCGCTGCAAACGTGGACGGTTGGGAGAAATGTCGCTTAATTGCTGTGATACCCTACAGTTGCTTGGGTAGCCATATAAAGCTGCAGCTATTGATCCAAAGTAGCCAACATAAAATTTTTTATATATACATACCGGGGACTTGCTTATGGTAAGCTAACAATACTAATAATAACTATAATAATAATACTATGAAAATACTAATAAATGAAATTTATTTTGCTCTGCATGAGGCTTTAATATCAGAGTTAGTTTAGTTACTCATTCTTAGATATAATGATAGTATTTCAGTTTATGTGTAGCGCACTCGACTAAGGCCACCATCATATTCGCTTTTAATCAACCAATTGTTGTTTTAATATTTGGATTTTTATTTTGTTTTGAATTGTACTTTCGTTCATTGTGTATACGCCACCAACTTGTTTTTTTTTTTTATCTTCATTGCGCCACACGAGACCTACCGCTCGCCCGCTGCTGTGGCCGTGCCCCGCTACTGCCCCCGCGTCAGCTCCACTGAAGTTGTTCACCTGTTGACTACTTCTGGTATTACGCAGACAGCGGCACCATAAGGGGAGACTCATTCGACGTCACACTGTGCTTGCCGCTTCACTGTCATGGGTGTTGCTTTGGTTTGGCTTGGGTTCGGTTGGGATTTGGCTTTGGCTTGGTTTGCTTCGTGCTTCATTGGCTCTACGGCTGCCTCCGCGGCCGGTTGCAAGTCTTTTGTTATGCAGTCACTTAAATTAACATTGTGCCCGATTATTTTGCTTTATCTTTGCCGATGCTTAAGATAAAATGTTGGCGTTTAAAAAACCTTAATTGAGTGTGTGTGTGTGTTCATTGTTGTATGTTCAGACCCAGACCCCCTGGCAAGGTTGGGATTGCGACAATAGACAAGTAGCTTTTTTTTCCCAAACATTCACCATTATGTCAACATCTCTTCTTTACTCTCTAAATGCTTCATCGCGTGCGGAAATTACCAAATTAGCCGACTGCTGTAACAATTTTTGTAATATATTTTTTTTTTAAGTTTTGTGTCCAGCCTCCATTGCGTTATCGCTGAAAATTATGGTCGCTTCCTCACCGGCTGCAAAATCAAAAGTGTCATTACAGGCACGTGGGCATGCATTAAAAAAAAACCAAAAAGGGTTTCCCGTTTATTGCGCAAAATTTATTTTAATATATTTACAAGTACGCCCGTTGTTTATTTTAATGTTATTTTTACTGCGTGCCAATTGTGTCTTGGCGAATATGTTTATTGTACTGCATTTCGCAGCTGCATAGACATTATTTTTATGTCTAATTTATTTTGTTTTCAAGTGACGTAATTGTTTGATTTACCTTTTTCTGCAATGTCATACTAACGTTTTTATATATCTACAAACTAAATAACAAGTATTTAAGAAAACCCAAACTGACTGCTTTATATATGTAAAGAGCGAAAACATATGCTTGCCTCAGTATTGCGTCTTGGGTTCAATAGCTTCGGTTGGGCCCAATTTAATTCGATATTTATATGCAGAGTAGATGACATGAATGTACGTTATAATACCAAACGTTTATTGTGGGTGCCAAAAGTCGACATTGACCGATTAAAGTACTAGCAAATATATTGTGAAAAGTCCATTAAATAATTTAACTGTAATTTGTGAGATTTTCAAGTAGTTATATTAAAAAGTTTTTGAAAAAAATGTAAATCTCTCCAATCCATCTGCGCCCATCAAAAATAAATGACAGGCACGGCTGCAGCACGGGCTATTTTATATTTACGACATCAAACATTCGGTATAAGATAAAAATTTTAAGTTAAAACACCGAATAGCTTAACAACATACAGTTCGGTATTTAGCCAGAGAGTCAGCATGAGCATATATATGTGGGGAATATTAATTATACCCCGAAACCATTGAAAAAGGGTAAAATGGTATTTGTGTACTCTATCTGCGACTCCATAAAGTATATATGTTCTTGATCAGAATTAATAGCCGAGTCGGTATTCTCGATAAGAAGAATCGATACCGAAATCCTGTTTATTTTAGTTCATTCGTTAAACAAGGAGAGCTAGAGTGACCAAATTGATATGTTGCTTCTAATAGAAGTAGTTTTAATCAGTATAGTATCTTTCATTTAATAGCTATCGCCACCTCATCTGTACCACCGAAAAGCTATAAACCAATCAATAAGAAGTATAGTAGAACATTTCATCGAGATCGGTTAAGAAACACAAAGGTTATTAAGGAAAACGTGCTTTGCTGATGGCGTGTATAGATGTTTGTTGCGAGTTCGAACCCTGCGGACGAAGCTGTTTATTTGCTTTTTTACTGGTTGGGTTGTTGAGTAGAGCCGGCAGTGAGTAATGCGATCAGTTACAAGTGTAAACCCTGCTGCATTTAATGTTGGAATAAAATGGTTCAGAGTTTCCCCTAATCCGGAGCGTCCGGAGCTTTTTTTTTAAAGGCCTTTTGTTAAATTCCACGCTTAACTCTCAAGAATTGAACAGATGATTGAATGTGGAAGGTGTTTAAAATATCTGGAAAACACGATGTTACCGAAATTGTAATTGAAACATTCTAAGTACAGCAAATTTATATAGCATACTTTAAAGTGCACATAATCTTGTTGTGCTTTCTTTTAAGCATACCTTTCGGCGCCCACTAAAATATGTGTTATTATAACCCAATCAAAACAAATCGTAGTAGTTTTCCAAGCGAATGAAAATGTTTCAAATCGTGTGTATCCTTTAAATTAATATTATTTATTTAAATGGTAATATGCATTGACTTATAAGAAATTCTACTTAACATATGGCTAAATGATCTATGATTGGGTGCGCATTGTGTTTGATATGGATGATTTATGCTAATTAGAGAAAGAGGTTAATGCAAACACTTTACACATTGGTGTACAAAACTAAACCTTAGAGTAACTGGAGACTTACGTAGTGGTTAAGGGAAACGGAACAAGGCGATAAACAAATATTTGTACAAAACTTTCGTGCAGTTATTTACAAGCCATAAAAAACTAATTGCAACTTATGTAAAACTAATTCAAAAGTCTTTTCAATACCATTCCAACGAGGCTCCAACGAAGGTGTCTGTAGTACGCTGTGTGTGTTGTGGAGAAGAGATCACAGTGCCCGCCGTCACCGCCGCCGCCGCCGCTCAGGACGTCGCCATCAGCTTGGCGGCCTGGATGACATTGTGCTGATGATGGTACCCGGCCAGATCGCTGGTTGCACCACCAGCCATTGCCGAGGAGGCGGCTCCACCCAGCGCCCCAAACGAGGCCCCGAAATAGCAGTTGTTCACATAGTCATAATTGGTGGCACTCGCCTCCGTTTTGACGCCATATGCCGCGGCTGCTGCGGCCGCGTGTATGTGGTGATGAGCCGCCGCTGCATGGTGTCCATGCGAGCTGCTCGCCGCGGCGGCGGCGTGCAAATGATGGTGTTGATAGTGAGGCGAGGGCGTGCCGTTGCTTAGTGTGGGTGTGTCTGCGGCATTGCTGCTGTGCGTCGTGTACGCGGAGGCAGCGGAGCTGCTGCTGGGCGTGTACAGCTGCGAGCCGGCTCCATGCAACTGCCTGGCACTCAGCTGGGATTGGTGGCTGAGGTGTTGGTGCTGCGACTGCTGCTGTTGCTGCTGTTGTTGCTGCTGGTGCTGCTGGGCGTAATGTGGAAAGCATTGCTGATGTGACGGTGCCGACTGCTGTTGCGGCTGCTGGCTGTGGTGCTGCCCCATTAGGCTGCTGACCGCACTGCCGGCCAGCGAGCTCTTCAGATCCGTATGCAACTTGTTCAGACTGTGTCGTTCCAGGCTAAGCGTGGGCTTGAGATCTGCAAGTTAGAGAGGGAGAAAGGCATCATGAGAAATGCATAAGACTTAAACAAAAAGTAAAGGGGATACAATTTTCCTTATGGTTGTCCAGTTATAAGCTTAAGGCTGCAAACTGATTGTGTTTTACCGAACCGGTTTTAGCCGCGCATTATATTGCGTTTAACCAACAATCGAAGCAAATAATATTCCCAAACAAACAATCTGAGCCTTACCCCAAATTGGATTATTGATGTGCTTATGTATGAAAGTGTGCATGTATATTTCGATATCGAAATTCTGATTTTTGTCCAAATCTGTTTGCATTAAGGGCTTGAGTCATTAGATTTAATGTGCAGCTTCTATAATAATAACATATGAAGATCAAGTATCTTACATACTATAGCTACCACCGCCCATTATTAAATACCGCACAGTATTAAAATTTTGTCGTGGAATATGTATAGAATAGGAGACATCTTCGACTCAATAAGGTTTATATATATATATATATATATATATATATATATATATATTCTTTATTAGTATCAACAGTATCAACAGCCGAGTCGACAAAGACAAAGTTGTCTGTATCTATGCGAACTAGACTTTGTAAAAGTCCTTCTTTCTGTTGCAACAGCGTGCATCTGCGGAACTGGCTGAATCGGACCACTATATCATATAGATTCCATTTTTTTTAAAGAAATCTTAGCCAAACTCGGCATTGATTATTTTCCCTGTGCTTCTTAGAAACGGGCAAAGCACTATGAGCATTATGAAAAGAATGGGTCTGCCAACTTATTAAATCTTCTATGAAGAGAATTCCAATTGCGAGCGTATTGTAAGCTTCGTTTTTTTCAGTTCGCTCTGTCGTTTATATTCAGGTGTTCATATGACTCTGAAATATAAGACGATGGAATCTAGTTCGGTCAGTTGAAAGTAGCTAAATGAACGCCTTACTAGGACACTTATTTAACTACTATGCGATTCTCATAAAATCAAGTACGATTTACAGGATGTAATTCTCAGATAATATTCTTTTATAATGTGCTTTCACTTTAACTTTCCGTCTCTTTATCAGTATTCTCTGTCAATGTAGCTTACCATGCTCTTCCTTGCACTCCTTGATGGCCTCCGTTGTAGAGCCCGATCCCGAACTAGTTCCCGCTGTGGAGCCGCTGCCTGTTTTCTTGGGCTTTCGCTTGCGCGTTTGGATGCCATCCTTGCGCATGGCCAGTGGCCGATTGACGCCGTGCAGCTTGAAGTAGAGGCCACAGGCATTGCACACTGGCTCCCCATCGTTGTTGCGCCTCCAGAGCGTGGTGGTGCGAGTGCCACAGTTCGTGCAGCACAAGCCTAGGCGGCGCGTGGCGGTCTGGCGGGTAACAAGGCGTAGATTAGTATAGATATGGATAATCACCGGAGTTGTGGCTACTCACTGCACTCACCAGTCGCTTGCTGGGCTTTATCAACGGCCGATTCATGCCGTTCATCTTGTGATACAGTCCGCAAGCGTTGCAGAGATAGTGGCCGGTGCCGTCGCGTCGCCAGAGTGGCGTGGAGATGGCACCACAGTTGACGCATTCGCGCCCCTCGCCAAACTGAAAGTCCATGGCGCTCTCATAGGGGGAGGAGCGCTGAAAGCCCGTTGGATCGTAAGCGCTGCGCCAGGGCGCCATCATGACAGCTGCGTTCTGTGTATAGAACTGCGCCGGCAGCTGCGCATGCGCCGATCCAAAGCTATCCGTTGTCCAGGCGTTCTGTGCCGCGGCGGCACTGCCGAAATGTGCCGCCACGTGGTTATATTGGCGATTGGAGGGCACATAGACGGGCGCATTGACCGCCTGCTGATGATGATACCCGGAGACGCTGGCAGCGCCCCCGGCAGCGGCCAAATCTGTGTAGGCGGCCGCTGCAGCGGCGCTGCTGCTGTGATACATCTTGGAACTGGCAGCGACGGCGGCGACCTGTAGCTGCACGTTGTGGTAGTCGCCGCTCAACTGCGGATAGTCACGCGTTGACTGCTGATCCGAGGTCGACTGCAAAAACAGATGACAAGAAAATGCAACATATTAGACAAAAATAACAAAACTGATTCTGTCTCCTGTCTGTCTTTCTCTTTCTCTCTCTATCCCTCTGCTGCCTGGCAACGGGCTTTTTCTCTATCTCAGTGCCACTCCCTCGCTCTTTGAGCGCCTCGCTCTTCGGTCTGCCCGGTGCTGCCATTGGGCGACACCCCCTTGCGAGTAGCCATTTTGGCTCTGACTCTTGCTGCAGTTCTTCGGATCTGCTGGGCCCCCTCACCACACACAGGCACACACACATACACACACACATGGCCTCTCTTTCTCTCTCTTTGTGAAGCAGAACTCGTTTTTTCAACGGGGCCCTTTTATTTCATCTCAAATGAATGGCGCGCTGCATCTTCTGTGACTCGTCTCTATATCTTTGTGCATTTCCAGCACTTACAAATGAGTTTCTCCTGGATGCCGTGCGTAGGCTTCGCTCCGTCTCTCCACAGCTTTGCACTTTCGTGCATATGTTAGTCTATACGTACGTGGGCTTCGGAAGTAATTTCCTTAATGATGGCCATAAGTATTATATGGGTTGCATTATAAACACTATCAATATTATTAGTCATAATTGTATTGGTAGATAATCTTATTTAAGGGTGTCTTGAATTTATATATATGTTTTCTGTTCAGAGGCTGGAAGTCTGAAGACGACAGGATTTTACCGCAGCAAGTGATTTTATATAAGTGGTAAGTGTAAAAAAGAAGTCAATTAATAGAATTTTTATTATTTTAGTGTCTGGTCTGTCTGACCTTCAGCATATCCATAACGTAAGCTTCAGATTCGAACTGCGATTCTTGTCTGAAGTGTATTTGTTTTCATTTTCACCTGTACACTCTCAAATATTTAGATTTATATAGCTAAAGTGAATTAGAGTTAATTATCTCGAAATCACAAAAAAAAAGAGATACGGATACAGCTAGATGAACTGCTTTCGATGTGCTTTATAGCCTCGAATGTATCTTTATCCGTATGCTTCAGATATTTGCATATTGTGTACATATTCTTAAACTTTTTAATTACCCATTAATTTGCGCAAAGGTTGGGAGTAATATTTTCATAGTTTTTACATTTCAAATTTGAAAGATTAAAACAAAACGTGATTTTTATAATTTTATTTGCTTTTAAAAACCATCGTTTTGCATTTGCTATTCACGTCTTCAGTTCCATTATGTTTCTTCACATTTGTATAGCTTTTATTAATCTCTTTTGTCCACTAGAAACAAATTGTTCATTCAACATTTTTGCACCAAATGAAAAGCCTTCAAGTACCGTAGTCTGATTTTCAATATGTTTTCCGCTTTCTGTTTTTTGTTGTTGCAGTTTCTTTACATAAGGTTCAATAACCAAAAGCAACGTCAAAATCTGTTTTTCACATCAATCTCAATTAAGGCGCCAATTGCATATATTTTTTTTATTTCGTTTAGTCGCATCTGTATATTCAAATGTATACCTCTTAAAGAGTTTGTGCTCACAATAACGAAATCCATTTGACGTCTTTATCTTATCCCAGAAATTTAATGCGATGATGTATGAACTTTTTAATTTCTGCTCATCTTTTCAAACGCAGCCGATTTCTCTCGCACACGTTAATATTCCACAATTAGGACAAAACAGATGGCTACCGGATTGAGTAAAGGGGAAATCCGGACGCCTTACTTTGCCTTGTAAATGTTCAATAATTTTTAGAAAAAATTATATTTGTCCACTTATCAATTATATCTGTATGTAAGAACGTGAGGCAAAAGACATTTATTTGAGAATTGAGTAATATTTTTGTTAAAAAGAGGAATTTCTGGAAAATCCTTTTAGCCGACGGCAAAGTATGTTTGTTCAATAAGTCAATTTTAGATTAATAATGTTACAAGAGTCTTCTTGTGAACCAGCAATATTAACAATAGCAATAACTTCTTATTCTGTTTTATGCATAAATTGTGAAACTTGTGCGTGAATAATATTTAAGAAATTTTGAAAGCTCATAATTTTTAAGGTTAGAGCTCCTGAGTTGAAATTTATATAATGCAGGAGTGTCAATATTTATATTAATCATTTATAATAACTGATTTATAATTTATTTATATTTTTTTAGCATGTCGCTGATTGCTACACATTCTCCCATTCCAACATTAGAAACAAGATCAATTGACGCACACCTTAACACAATTCTCGAAACGCCAAAGAAATGTGCAGCGTTCCACAAACGCATCTGATGAAAGGGGAAGAGAACAACAGTTCCAGCCATCAAAGAGTTGACCACGCGTGCATAATGACGTCGCTCCCTTTAGAAGATCAGTCGATCAAAGAGAGCGCCGGCCGTTGCCAGAGCACGAAGCGGTGTCGGATCAAAGGAGCGGCGACCACACGAAAAATTGTCAACATGTTGCTGCCCTATGTATGGGAGCAGGGGTATGAGGTGGATGCGTTTGGCCCAGCCAGGATCGAGATCGGCATGGAATCAGTTCGAGATCGCAGGCACTTCGAAGTGACTGCAGAGGCGCTTTGGCGCTTATTAAAATGCGAGGCCAACAAAATAAAGGGCTAAGCCAAACTCAATGCCGTCGATGTAGAAGGTGAAGAAGAAGGCGGGGAATTAAAATAAAGAGCAATAAAAAATCAATTTCATAAAAATGAGGCACAGATCGGGAACTCGACTAGCGATCAACAGCAGGTCGGGAACGATGAGTAGAACGTTAATAATTTGTCACTGCAAATGAAGGAATAAAAACAAACAGAGAAAACCACTTGAGCGGCAGCCAAGTGAAGGAATAAAACCAAAAACCAACAAAATAAAAAAAAAAATACAAACAAGACAACAGCGAGGAGGGCATCGAGAACACTTAGGATTAAAGCGGCGCTTTAAGTGGTTTTTTATAAGTCTCTCGGCTAAGGCCGTTGAAACCGGGTGCGCTCACTCACCCGGCCAGCGCCAGGTCTATGTTCAGAGGATCCTGTTTTAGGCACTCCTCTCTTCCCCCCACTTGAGCTGCACACACTTGACTCATTCATGGATGGATCGTTGCCGCTGGAATTGCAGTTCTCTTCATAGTTTTAACTAGCGGATGTCATCCAACGACTGTAGAGTTTAGTTTTCCTGTAAACAACTGTGTTGGCTTATTGGCTTATTTGCATGGAGACATTAGAAACGATACGTTTAAGCTGCAGGGAAAGTCCGACTTTTGTCGACAGAAATACTAATTACTTGGCAGTAAACATAAAAAATAAAGAAATATTTTCGATTTAAATGAAAGCCGTAAAACGATAGGAAAGAACGAACGACTGCTTATGCATCTTATAAAATGGCTAAGGCTAAAAAAGAGCATTACTTAAAAATCTCAAAAAGAGTAATACTTTTTAAACTTTTCTATATGTCCTTTTGGTAAATCTAAATTTGCAGTTCTGGTCTTGGGATCTGTAATTATAAGCTTTTTGAATGGTACGTTGGGAAAGAGCTGGCAAATATGGATGATAATGAGGAATTTGGAGAACTGAAGAAAAACTCATTTTCATAAGTCGTTCTCTGAAGGAAACTTTAAATGCGTTTTATAATAATTGTAATATGAATATTGTCTCACTTTTAGAGCAATTTGGAAAAGCTAATAGTTTCGTACATTCAATTTGCTTAAAGAGTCACGACTAAATCAAGGAGTTGAAATATAAATTTAAACAAATTATGATTTATTGAAATAAAACGTGTATCGGATTATGCAAATGTTTAATGATAAAAGCTCAACTTACATCGCCATCACTTAGCAAAATGCCCATAATTTATTGATTTGATTTTTTGTACGGTTTTCTGTTAGGCAGCTTGTTTAAGGATTGATTTATCGTAACGCGGAATTTAAGTTCAAATTGTCACAACACAAATATATCACAGAAATGCAAAAGTGCGATATTAATTGCAACTGACTTGAAATTGTTCAAATTTGGCTACATTTGTTGTTATTATTAATATTGCTCGATCGATCGGGCTGAGCATTTAATGGGCTTTGTTGTAAGCCTTTTGATTAATGCGGCTAATAAAGCAATAAATATTCGTATTAATCCAGTTACGAGCACTTAACAGATTTGAGTTATTATGGCTTTTGTTGTTATTGTCTTTGTTGTTATTGTTGTTGCTGTGGATCGCGGGCACAACGAACCGACTTCCTTGAGGCGTACAAACAAACTAAAAAACCTCCTCAAAGTAAACAAAAACTTAATCCCAAAATTCCAGTTTCAGTTCGGCGCAGCCGACGGCGACGGCAACGGCGACAGCGACGTCAACTTCTGCAGCGACCGAAAGCAGCGCCACGCAAAATCGAAGAGAAGTCAACGGCAAGCAACATAAAAAGTCAATTTCATCAATGGGCAGGCAACGCAGTCCGCCTCTCCGTCCCGCCGGCCACTCGTTGCCTCCGCGTGTCACTTGCAGGCGTCGCCTTCACACAAGACTCCGCGTGCAAGCGAGATGGAGACGACGCACAAGACTGCAGAGCGAGATGGAGATGCCGTTGGCTGAGTGACAGGTAAAAATTTGTAGGTGCATTTCAAATGCAGCTACTGCGACGCCGACTGCGCTGCCGCGGCGCCGAACCTGCGACTGCGATCGAAACACACGAAATTAGTCAATTTCATGTAAGTCTTCGAAAATAATGTCCAGCACTTGAAACCGAAACAGGTTCCAGACCGAGCTACTTGCTCCTAGAACAGTAGGCACTTGAGTACTTGAGTCTGCGTGAAAGTAATCCGCCCGCCGAGATCGATGCCCGACCGGGCTCGTCGTCCGTCTGTAGTGTCACCAGCTTGTTTCCCTGTAGCCGTGTGTAGCTGGGCGTGTGCAAGTGCCCAAACACTGTCCTTATAGGAAACCTATAGGACCATGACAAAGATCGAAGGATCGCGAGGAAGATCAGAGAAAGATTTAATTAATTGACGCCCGTGTGTTTTTGTTGCCCCTAATGAGGGTCTATTTATTGTGATGTCCCTTATTGCAATGTTGTAAGGGACATCAGGAGAGTAAGGTGTAAATGAGGAGAAGTACTTACTTCTTGCTAATTTTCAGAAACATGTCACTGAAAATGATATATATGTCCATTTAAAAGGTAGAAATTGAAAAGGGAGCTATGTGTAATATTTGGAGAGATTGTGAATGAACTGAGTGCGGCTCATTAAAAATAAACGAATGCCTTTAAGAGGCTGGCAACTTAAAACTGTTTCATGATTAAATACTTAATATCGATGTGATGAGGTGATGAAGTGAGCGCGTGAAGGAACGAGGGGCTCGGCCTTTTTTTGTGCGGGTCTCGTGCAGGGCCAGGCTTATCCCCAAAAGCACAAAAATATAGGCACTATTAAGTTCGTAAGGTCGAGATGTAGTCTGATATATGGCTACGAAAATATAATACCTGTATACCACCCCAATCTCTAACTATTGAAAATAAATACTTACAACACGAAATAAATATATATCTAAGTGCATATCTATTAGCCACAACATAATCAAAGCGTCATAGTTGATATTTTAAAGCGACTTGACGAAAAAATACTAAGAAGTTCGTTGCAAAAGCCACAAAAGGAAATAATTTAGAGCGGAGCCAGGCTTTTATATAATTGTACGAACGGCCAGGTTTTTTTTTAAGTGCATGTTTCGTGCTTATTCGGACGAGCCTCCAGTATCCATAAATATTTCGATATATTTATACAATCTGAATATATTTCTGGTCAGCAATACATTATACATTATTAATTATTACATTACATACATTACTTATTAATAATAATAGCAGTCAATGGAGGTACATAGAAGCTTTCATCATTTGAAAGAAAGTGAACACCGCGTTCAGCTTAAACAAAAGATGTTAAATTTAACAATAATTTTGTTTTCATCGAATCGCGCATAGCTTTTAATTGTAACAAATATTTAATTTTTTATTTTGAGTTTGCTCGTGTTGGATAAGCCACTTATTCACTGACACTCATATATCTAACAGATAGCCACAAGTGGGCCAAATCCACTCACAACATTCCCGAAACCCATGGTGTGGATCATTAATCAAACGATTTGCCTTAGTTTCTGGCCATCGAAAATCACATAATTCACCCATCAAAAAGGTTCGTTGCCTGTTGGCAATCTTCCGCCCCGGCTGGATGGTGAACAAATTCTTTTCATTAAAATGCAAAAAGCGAGCAGAGTGAGTGAAAAGTGAGGCAAATCAAATCGGAGAGAGACAGAGAGGGCGAGTCTCTGACCAAGCAGAAGGTCCGAAAGATGTCAAAACAAAAAACCGCAAGCCAGACAAGCGCATATTTCAATCGACGCTGACACATCCTGCTGCGCTAATGGACCTTAATTTGTGAACAGCTTTATATATCATGCGCCTGGCCGTTAATGTGATCATCCACACGATCTTGTTGACGATGCCCAGCCACCATATGAGGCTGGAACTGTTGCGGTGATTAAGTTTTATGACGTTTATCAGGCGCATACGCTGAAGAAAAGACCACGGTATGCCTTATGCGTAAGGCTTGGCACGCGCTTTCCTGGAAACGAAAATGGAGCGAGTCGCTTTTGGGAAACTGCCCGTAATGGAAATGTGAATGAAAGTAGAGAAACAAGGCAAATAGAGTGAGTTGGAAAATTCATCGATATGCATATTATTTTTACTGATAACAGCCAGACAAATGATAATTACCTTGGCTCCACTAATCCTGAATACCCTTTCAGCTGCCCTACCCGATATTAGGGAAAATGTCACCCGAAATTTCAAAGTGGCGTCACCGCCAACGCTATCCCAAGTATTTCATATGTACCCCAGCCGAGACTTTCTTCAAATGCTAAGCCTCTAAGCGCTCTAAGCGCTCTAGTGCACTGCATTCGATTACAATGTCTGTTGATTGTCTCATGATTGTCTCGCTCTCATTGTCGCACGATCAATGTGGATGTGAATCGTGCGCTCTCGCTCTCACACGCTGTTGCCATCTCGCGCGCTCCTTCAGCAAAGATGAAAGAAATCTTTATTGGTTTTTGTAGTGATTTTAAGTGGATTTGTGGTTCGATTCTTAATGGCAAAGTACGCCGGCAACATCAGCTTCAGCAGCAGCGGCAGCGGCAGCAGCACTCATCCACCTTCACCTCCACTCCGCTCTCAGACCCATGTCTGTGGTTATATCGATTTTATTCAAATTTGTATGTTTATTTCATCTTATGTGTAATTATGAGAATCTTTTAGATGTAGACGTAGCTCTCTTGAGTGTTTTAGGCAGTTTGGAGTTGTAATTATGGCGTTTTTATGTAGCAAATGCATTCGATGTGTTCGTATTCGGAGTGTATCAAGCAATTTGTGGCAGTTACATGCAGTTAGTTTGCATATGAAGAGTGAAACATGCAGATGAATAAAGTGTTGAGCTAAGTATGTTTAAAACGCTAAGCTTAGTTCTTGAATAGACATTTATAATTCCTATATACATAATGATTTTTGTGTAATCTATGTGAGCAATTTTATCATACATTGTTGTCATAGCTGGCTCAAAAATAGATTTCAAACAAATTTCAGGATTAAAAATTAAGAACATTTATTATGCCTGTCTAGGGTATATAATTTCTTGTCCAGCATCAAGAACTGAGTCGACCCCGCCACGTAATCTGTCTGTCTCTATAATGTCACCGATATCAAACTATGGGAGCTCATGTATCTGATTTAGAATAATGTCTATCTATATTACATACAGATATAACTTAAAATATAACTCGTTTAAATTGGAATAACTTAAAACCAGAGCCTGAACAACTCAAAATCCTTACGCTCTTCCAGTCGGATAATGCGCGCAAGTATTTCCATACTAAAGGATTTAGAAGCACAGCTATAGATGGAGTTTTCTGAGCCGGTTAATCTCACTTATCATAATATGCATGTAAATTAAACATTGTATACAGCTTATACAAATCTAGAGGGTGCTTAAATTGTAAGATATTACTCGTTCGATCAGTTTCCGCTGGTGGAAAATTTAATTCTGCCAGTACTATCTTGAACTCCATTTTTATTTGAAAATATGTGTAACGTCCGTCGAATTAAGAACCTTATGTCGGAATCAAAAAATTTAGACCTTGTTAGTATTATGGGGAGAATATTGATGCCGAAAACTAAACTTTTGTTCACTTAACCGTTTCTTCCATTCAAGTGCGGTGAATAATATCAAGTGACAAATAAATTTGAACTCATATTTTGACAAAGTTTTCTGAAAATGACTTCGAGGCCGACTCAATGGTTAGCAAAAATGTTGCGTGCAACAGTTTTCCACTAAATTTCCAACGTTGCGGGTGAAATCGCTAGAACAATTAATCATTTAGTTTTTATGTACTGCAAAAGGGGAGATTTTACGAAAAAAGTACGGAACACGTCTAAAATGAATTTTGACAAATATCTTTAAAAATGATTTTCAAGCCGAGCTAATGTAAAGCTTAAAACTGTCATACAACTCCTTATTTACCACAAATGCGGGTGGAATTTCACAAATCGCTAAAAATTGAAAAGCGATTGGAACTAAGAACGTCCGCAAAAAGAAGAAATTAATTTGAACATCGCCCCTCAAATTTTTCTACGCCCTTACCTCATGAGTTTAAACAAGGATCTTTAAAGATTGAGTTGAGGATGGTAAACAACAAATTTGCCTACAAACGTTGGTGGAATTTCCCTAAAAACCCGTCTCAGCATGCACTTTCACTACATAAGTTAAGTACAGCGAATTTTAGCTTCCTAGTGCTTACGGTTCGCGCTGAGCATTGATTACCAATCAGTCAGACAGTTAGTCAGGACAAAGAGTTTTATATATAGAGATTAGAGAGATAATTTGAAACGACTTTGTTAATTTGATCTTTTATATCACGTTCTTTCGACTGTTGCAACTGGTTAAATTTAAATGCATCAAAGTATTTTACTGTTTTTGCTATCTACTTCCTCATGAATTGCTTCTTGAGGCAGACAAATAATGCATAGGAGACTACCAGAAAGCAGAAAGCGCCCAATAGATAATAACTTGTAATAGAAAATATTTTTGTCGAGACATGACCACAAATAGGTAGTCTTACTTGTGAGCATGTTGATACATATATGTATCTGCATGGCTTATCGCAGTGCAATTAAGGCTTTTGCTTAAGCGCAGCTGAAGCAATTACTCATCGCTGTGACACATGACTGCGCCGAAACTATAGCACATATAAATACATATCCAAGAGCACTTGACTACAACTGAAACGCATTTGAAACGCGGCTACTTACACATTCAGCAACAACACTAAAAACACAAAACTCAATTTGAATATTTCGAGTGATAAGCAAAGAGCCTTCTTCCCCTAGCAACAACAGAAACAACAGCAACAACCACAACAGCTAACGAGTGATATAAGCATGCTTGAACATTTAACTGATTGTTCCAATCGGTGATTTTGTGAGAAGAACAGTGTCAGCCCGTAACATTTCATTGCTCATACTCGAGCAACTGACGGGCATATTGTATGGAGGCGCGCACTTGGCTTATCAATTGCTGAAATGATGGCGGAAATGGTGCGTTATTGTTTTCGTTGTTGTTGTTGTTGTTGTTTTTGTTGTCGTTGCTTAGAAAGTGCTGATAATGTTTTAATTTGTATGCATTTTGTTTTATAATTAATTGGAGTCGTGACAATATCCAATTTTATGCTGGTACAAGCCGTGTGCAGCGTGTGAAAGGCATGCAAAACAAAAGACTTAAGCAACGAACTTGCTGTGGTTGAAGCCACGCCAATGTCCTTTTCTGCACGGCCCTATGCTGTGTCAGCTGCTCAAATACAAACGCTTGAAAACTTGATTTGACCCTTCTGCTGGCGTCTATATTAAGCAAGGCTTTTTCTTGATCTTTACCGACAACACGATTGATCTCAGTCGCTCTACTCTCTCCCTCTTGTCCACTCCTTCTTTGCTCGACCACACCGGCAGCAGTGACAAGTTTTCGGCACGCGGGCAGACAAATTCCGATTCTGTGCCTTTGCTGCACCAGGAATTCAAATGTGGCTCGACTAGATGTGCTTGTATGTATGTGTGTATGTACATACCCAAAGCTTTTAAGTGTCTTGGCGTCGGCACGGCTTATGTCGTCTCTCTATCTGCCACAGCCTCCGACTCTCGGTGTCGTTTCGTTCGTGACATTTACATTTGTGAGAGCATTGCCGAAGCCGTTGCCAGACGCAGTGAAAATTAATAGCTGTGGAAAAATCTACATACGTTTTGATTGCTTGGCGCTGACTGTGAAAAGATCTCGCCTAATTTTCCCTTTTCTTTTACA